TTATTAAAGCAAGTTGAAGGGTCACAGGGTATTAAGGATATTGGAAATGACACCTTCAGTTTGTCTTCTACAAGGGCACTCACCGTATACCTGGCTCTCACAGTTCCGCAAGAAATAGCAGTACTCAGGTTATGTATTAGAGGACTGTGTTTATCTACTTCTTCCGGGTTTGGAGTGTAAATTGTAGCCTTAGAAAAGAATGTATATTAGATGTTTTGAACTGTGAATTTTTTGTTAGAGATGTGTTGTAGTGCAGCTGTTATAGTACTAGCATAGATTTTGTGCCAGGTAGTTTTAAGAAATTCTGTAGTATCTATACCAAAAAGAGTATAGTTAAAGAGAAGATTGGTGTTGATTTGATTAGTGAAGTCTTTCTATTTTGCATTATTCATTATTTTGTAGTTGAAGACTCTTCTGCATATATGTGTTTTGTATCTTCATTAACCATGTAGGGCATAGAGGAAAAACTAGTGAGTAGTAAAAATTTTATGATCACTAAGAGAGCTATTTTAGTATTATCAATATTAAATAATATAAGATAGATTAAGATGGTGTAGTAGGCCCAAATAAAATTGATTTCACTGTGGGATCTGATATTTTGCCAAGTGGGAGAAGATAAGGCAGTGTGTGAAGCAAGATTATATATATTATTGTAAGTTAGGAATTGAAAAAGTTTGTATTTGATAAATGAGGAGTAAATATTGTTAGTTGAAGCATTAAAGTCTTCAAGTACAGATTGAGAACATAGGCATCTTGTATCTATTTGATAATAGTGTTTTGGATTTCAAGTCTAGTAGAGGCATTGTCACAGAGAAGGTAGATAGAAATAATGCAAAATTTAAAATTATATTTGAAAAACAGGTCAATGAAGATAGCATAGCCAGGAAATATAGCAATATTGTAAATATGTGAAGTTAGGAAGTTGCATATTATAATTGTGGTGCTAGCTTTGGAGTTTTCTGTACATGACAAGAAGTAGGTATAGTGAGGAGTAATAAGACATTTGAAGGTAAACTTGTTGCTAGCTAGTTTGGTTTTAGTAAGGCAGATAATATCTAAATTATTAGATAGACAGTAGTATTTACATACTTGTTGTTTGAAGTTTTGATTAAAGCCTCAAATGTTATGTATACATATAGAAAGTATTAAAGGTAAGTAAGAAGGGTTAGAAGAGTTAATAGGAGGTCTGGAAGATGTGGATAGAAGAGAGTATGGTATGTATGATTTTAGAGAAGTATGGGGGTTTGCAAAAATGACACTTTGGTAGGTATAATGATATAATTGGGAAGAGGGCAAGGTTCTTGTGGAGTATATACTGTATATAAGCTTCACTATAGTTAGATTTGATAGAAATTACAAGTTCATTTTGTAAATTGTCCCAAAGGCTATGTTTGATTAGATAAAGAAAAAAAAAGTTGATTGTTTGAAGGGATAGAAGAAGTGGGAGTTTGTGGTGTTTAAGAAATTTGTTAAAGCAGGTTAAGGGATCACAAGATTCTAAAGATATTGGAAGTGACAACTTAGATTTGTCTTTTACAAGGGTGCTCATCATATACCCAGCTCTCATGGTTCTGCAAAAAGTAACAGTACTCTGGTTATGCATTAGAAAACTGTATTTATCAACCTCTTCCAGATAAATAGGCTTGTTCACCTGTCTACTTATATCATTTTCCTTATTAACTACAATAGGTGTGTCTTTTAATAAGGTGATAGCAATAAATTTATCTAATAATTATAATAATAAACAATTATAATTATGAAATATAATTTATTAAAACAGAAATCTATTTACCTTTAATAAAATTTTTATAAATTCTAAGATTTTAAATACTATATAATTGCTATTTTTTTGTTTTTTTTTGAGTTGTTTTTTGTTCTTTTTGATGCATTTTTTGTTGTTCTTCTTGATGCTTTTTCTGTTGTTCTTCTTGATGCTTTTGCTGTTGTTATTCTTTTTGACACTTATGCTATTGCAAATAAGTCTCTACAATAACATCTTGAGCATGTCGACCTGTTGTATTATGCTCTTTTGATTTCTCAATATCTTGCTTATAGATATCTCCTAAACGTTTAATACCACGTTCATAGCATTCAAATAGGTTTTTAAATCCTAAATCAGTATTCTGAGATGTTTTACTAAAAAGGTGATATTTGGTAGAATCAGATAGATTAAATACCTCTACCAATAGATTAGTTAAATTTTGAAGTATTTCTTCACGGGATTTTTAGTTCGATCAACTGGTAGTAATAAATGTTCATTAACATACTCACTTAAAAGTAAAATTAATCATTGTTGTTCAGCTTATAGAGAGATAAGCTTTGAATTTAAATCCTCAGCTAATCGAAATATAGAACTAATATATTGTTTAACAAAATTAACTCCAAATCTTTCAATAGCTTCATTAAAGGCAAAATAGTGATCTGGATGAGTTAAATTTACAGAACTAATATATCAAAGTATTTTCTGTAAAACGGGATTTTTTTCTAATAAATGATAAAAAATATGTAACAGACTGAGCATAATTACTATGTCGTACTACAGGAAAAAGTAGAGCAAATGCATTAAGATACTCTATTTGCATATCATAATTTTCATACCATATTCCAAGCTTGTGACCTATCCATAAATCTATCCAAAAAAAAAAAAATAAATACCAAACCTTTACTACATTGTTGTTTTCATTAATTAAATTATCCATTTGTTTGTTGCATTTTTTGCATATTGACAAAGTGCACCCTTACAGCAATCCAAATTAACTCTAAAACATGACAAATAGCTGTATAATCAACTACTTTCTCAAGTTTATCTAAATACGTTATTCCTAACTTAGCTGCTAAACTATATATACTATATCTAGAAAAGAGACGAAGTAATATAGCACACATTATTTTTGATGTATGTTATCCTCCTAATAATAAACTTATTTCAGGTTAATGTTCATTTAATTTTATAAGGCATCAAAATATAGCTTCATCACAGGCCAAATAAAGATCTCTATTATAATCAAGTCTAACATTATTGCAATACATTCTTGCAGCACTATGAACATTTTCATCACTACATGAATTTTTCCGGGTTCTAAAATAACTAAGTTTGGTAAATCTACCTTATATCCCAATTGAATATTCTTTTTCAATTCTTGCCAAAATTCATAAATATTAGGATAGTTTTTATTATTGGAGTTAAAAAAAATACTAAAAATATCTTCATATTTTTGAATTCTATTATTTGCAAAATCAGACATTCCAACCTTAAATTTATAACCAGAAACAGAATTGCATTCTGTAGCAATATCTAATAAAGACTTTGGCAATTTAAACTATAAAACTATTCGAAGAGAGTATAAGCTGTACGTCTTGGTGTTTCAAAAATATTATTATACGCAAATATATTTTCTTTCATATCTATATTTCTATTATATATAAGTTCCAAATATTGTCACAACGTAGTAATCTTTTTAATATATCAATATTGTTAATTCTTTGCTTTTCTAATTTTCTTTCATAATGATTGGTATGTGAAACTATATTTGCAGTAAATAATATAGCATATAATGAACTCAATAGCTTTGGTTTCTGGCAAAGAGAACTAACTCATAACATGTGAAAACCAAATATTAATACCTGGAAATGCCATAGAAAATACTAATGACAATATAAAAATTAAAATTTTTTTTGCTCTAGTAGTATTAAATTCTGTTGAAATAAGTCCACGTAGTATTCGTTTTTTTTGCACTATCTCCCATTTTTTTTTGTAAGCTAAAAATAACAAAATTATCAAACAATTCTTTTATTGGTTTAGAAAAACCCTCATAAAACTCATTAAGATATTTGGTGCTTTGAGTACTTCTCTTTGTGAACGCACCTCAGATCTTGATCGCCAAATGACTGCTCCTAAAGCTTTTCCTAGTTCTTGTGGTTGATTTTTTATAAAATCAGTAAACTCACTTTTTTCTTTTAATCTAT